CCCCCCATTTGGCAATTTCCGACAACTGATCATTTTATTCTTATTTCGCTGTATCGTAGGTTCGCGCTGTGGCCTTTCCTCATTCGAATGCCATCTTCTCAGCATCTCGAGATGCAACAGTGCGACTATGGCGACTAGTGTCTACCCCGCCTCCGACGTATGACTACAACATCACTTCTCACGGGTCAGCCTTCATCAACGCCCTCGCATACTATCCCCCCACACCCGACTTTCCCGATGGCTTGGTCCTCTCTGGCGGACAAGATACAATCATTGAGGCGAGGCAACCCGGCAAAGCCGCTGATGACAATGCGGACGCCATGCTCCTAGGCCATGCACACAACGTGTGTGCGCTGGACGTCTCACACGAAGGCGGATGGGTCGTCAGTGGAAGCTGGGACTCCACGGCCCGACTCTGGCGGGTAGGTAAATGGGAATGTGATCTTGTCTTGGACGGTCATCAGGGAAGCGTTTGGACGGTGCTTGCCTACGATAAAGACACAATCATCACCGGTAGGTGCCATGTTGTTCTACGATCACGTCATCTCAGTACTAACAAATCATTAGGCTGCGCGGATAAAATAATCCGGATCTTCAATACCTCTGGAAAACTTCTCAGAACTATCAAGGACTCTCAAGATGTCGTGCGAGCGCTGTGCAAGCTTCCTCCTTCTCACCCTTCCGGCGCGCACTTCGCTTCCGCAAGCAACGATGGGGTTATTCGACTTCACACCATACAAGGACAACTTGTCGGAGAGCTTCACGGTCACGAAAGTTTTATTTACTCGTTGGCTTCCTTGCCTTCTGGTGAGTTGGTCAGCTCTGGCGAAGACCGGACGGTCAGGGTGTGGAATGGCATGCAGTGCGTGCAAACGATAACACATCCCGCGATCTCGGTTTGGAGTGTTGCTGCTTGCCAGGAGACTGGGGATATCGTCACAGGTGCCAGTGATCGGGTCACTCGCGTCTTCACCAGAAGCGAGGACCGGATCGCAAGTGCTGAAGTACTTCAGCAGTTCGAAAAGACGGTCAAGGAGTCCGCGATTCCGGAACAGCAAGTCGGCAAGATCAACAAGGAGCAACTTCCCGGTCCTGAGTTTCTCAAACAGAAATCAGGCACTAAGGACGGTCAGGTACAGATGATTCGTGAGACTGATGGTAGCATTACTGCCCATACGTGGTCGATGGCATCGCGCGAATGGATTGCGGTAGGCACAGTGGTCGACTCCGCTGCCAGCAGCGGAAGGAAGATTGAGTACTTGGGTCAGGATTACGACTATGTCTTCGATGTCGACGTGGAGGACGGCAAGCCTCCTCTCAAACTACCATACAACGTCTCTCAAAATCCATATGAGGCCGCAACCAAGTTCATTCAAGACAACGAGTTGTCTATGAACTACCTTGATCAAGTCGCGCAGTTTATCGTTCAGAACAGCCAGGGTGCCAGCCTTGGCCAACCTAGCCAAGGCCCGACACCTGCTGGTGCCGACCCTTGGGGAACAGAAAGACGCTACCGTCCTGGAGACGGACAAGAATCGCAAGCTACCCAGCCTCCGCCGGCCCCGGAGCCCCGCCCCAAGGTCCTTCCTCAGAAGCAGTACCTGTCGATCAAGTCCGCCAACCTCAAGGTAATTGCTAAGAAGTTGCAAGAGCTGAACGAGCAACTTGTGTCATCTGGATCGAAAGAATTGTCATTAAGTCCATCCGAGCTCGAGACTGTGGTTTCTCTATGCACGCATCTAGAATCCTCGAGCTTGAATGAATCGCCCATCGCAGGTACTGGTGTTGTCTTATTATATAAGGTCGCAACGCTGTGGCCTACATCGAGCAGACTCCCTGGTTTGGATCTCCTCCGCTTACTCGCCGCCGCCACTCCTGCGGTCGCTGGTGCGGACTACGATGGGAAGGATCTTATCACAGGGCTACTTTCAAGTGGAATTTTCAACTCTCCATTGAACGTGAACAATGCAATGCTATCGGTTAGAATGCTGGCGAATCTGTTCGAAACGGAAGCTGGTCGCAACCTGGTCATAAGCCGATTCGATGACATTTTGCCTGCCATCAAGTCTGCTTTGTCCGCCAGCGGATCAACGCCCAATCGAAACCTTACAATCGCTGTTGCGACCCTCTACATCAATGTCGCTGTCTACTTGACCTCTGGAGGCAACGAAGCGGCTCCTGAGTCGTCGGAGAAGGGATTGGTGCTTCTTGCAGAGCTTACGCAGATGCTTCAGGGTGAGAAGGATTCCGAGGCAGTCTACCGTAGTCTTGTCGCATTAGGAACACTGGTCAAGGCACTGGGCGAGGAAGTCAAGGCCGCGGCAAAGGAGGTTTACGATGTAGAAGCCCTTCTCAACACCATCTCGAGCACTGGACTTGGGAAGGAGCCGAGAACCAAGGGCATTATTGGTGAGATCAAGGAGTCGCTGTTGTAGGGTGAACACTTGGCTGAGAAGTATCTCTCTGAGTTGATAGAGAGTTCTTGATATTCTATATCCATAGGCATTATACATATTTGTTAACGATAGCGATGCACACCTGCATGAAATCAACTATTGACTAAGTAACCGTCAAGTCCATTGACTACTGAGGGCTACATAAGGTCCGACTGTCCATCCTATGAAAAATGGATAGCACTTTTAACCCGCTTGTGGGTTTATTTCCATCCCATGACCCTTAAATCCAGGGCACACACCCTCCCTTGTAATATACTATACAAATCCCCCCCCCCCCCCCCCTCTGTCTCATCGATACTCAAAACACAATCCCCCTCCTCAATTTACAACCTCCCCTCCGCATCCACCCCAACCTCCAACACCTGATCCACACCCTGATAATCTGGCACATCCAGCCCATACTTCTCCGCAATCCCCCGCGTCAGAAACCTCCCGCCCACAAAATGCCTCCCGCGGTAGAACTTCACGCACGGCTTCGGCGCCGTCAGACTGATCAACGCCTCCGGCATGAACTTCGCCCCCGGTCCGTCCCGCGGCGGTCCGCTCTCGATGTCCCACGAGCTGGGCGCGTCCACGCTCAGCACCGGGATCGTCGCCGCTTCCATCTGGCTGATGATCTCCGGGAACGGGTCGCGCAGCGGCCCCCCGAAGCTGAATCCGAAGATCGCGTCCACCAGCAGGTGCGAGGTTTTGATGGCTTCCGGCAGGTCGTGCGTGTCGTTCAGGATCGGGATGGAGAGGTTGCGGAGTTGGGTTTTGAGGCGCTTGTGAAGGGTTAACTTTGGGTTGGGTTGGGTTGGGTTTGGGGGTGAGGGGTAGGGGATTGGGGATGAGGTTGGAGTTTGAATTTGACTTACCTGGTAGAGCTCGTTTTTCCCTTCCTTGGGGTAGTAGATTGTTGGGTTGTAGCCGAAATGCGCGAGGTGGCGCGCGGCTACGAGGCCGTCGCCGCCTGGTTTGGGTGAGGTGGTTAGGTCCGTGATGGTGTTGTAATGGGACTGGGTCATTGGGGGATAAGATGAGGATGGGGATGGGCTATGGCGGTGGCGTTGAAGGTGAAGGTGGTAGGTGGTAGGTGGTAGGGATCGAGTGCTCACCATTATTCCCGGGACCGCAAATGACGAGAATGCTCTTTCCTGCGCTCGGGGGATGGATGCGGTATACTGTTTTTATCTCTGGCGTTAGGAATGGATTGTTGCTGAATGGTGGGCTGGCTGGTATCGGCGCGCACCTGCTTGAGAGACTGATAACCCCGCGAGCTCCATGAGTTGATCTAGAGAGAACCCGCCGGTCTCCATGAGATCCTTGTCCAGAGAGGCGGCATCTTTGGAGGAGAGAGCCTATTCGCAATCAACACGATGTTAATGACCCGAGCTCCCTCTTGGGGATGTAGGTTGCAAAGCTCATGAGCCGACTGACCTTCAATGACATTTTGGCTGATGTACTAAATTTCCGGAAGGAGGCCGCGAGAGGAGGTTTCCGCCTTAGGATGGAGGAGAGGAGCATACAAGCGTGTCAATTTTAAGCTAGTGAGTACAGCGTTGCACAGTTCCTCAGTGAGGCTATTTGAATTGGATTAGGAGAGATTTAATTGTAAAAGCTACTTAAGCTACAGCACCATGATTGCTAGATAAGTGTTCGCATCGATTGCATTGCATCATTGTTATCGACGTTCCCCACCGTCCGGCGCTAGTCCGACTCGGGCGTTCAATCCGGACAAACTGATCCTCCGGACAGGCTGGAAACTGCCGCGGAGTCGGAGATCGAGGGTCTACTCCAGCTCGTTGTTCAGTTGAGGTCTCCCTTTGCGCTGGCTCGGTGACTTCTCAATCTCTTCCAATTGAACCCGAACTCCTCCAAGATGGTCGTCCGTATTCGTCTGTCCCGCTTCGGGAACAAGCACCAGCCCTTTTACAACATCGTGGTTGCGCAAGCTCGGTAGGTGAATTTTTTTTTAGGTCTCTTTTGAAGCGCATGTGCTGCTACCGAGGCGTCTTGAAATTTGCCCCAGCAGCAGTCTATCGACGAATTTGAATCATTGCGCTAACATCAATTGTTCGCTCAGTTCGGCCCGCGACTCCAAGCCCCTAGAGGTCATTGGTACTTTCAACCCCGTCCCTCAACGTCCTACCGGCCTCTCCGACGAGGAAGCCCGCGCCGCGAGAGCATACAAGGATATCTCGCTCGACCGATCTCGGGCCAAGTACTGGTTGGGTGTTGGCGCACAGCCCAGTGACGGTGTTTGGAGGTTACTGCACTTGGTATGTCCATTTTCCGGGGAAGGCTTTTCTCGCCGCAGGACGGACGGCCACGATAAGGAAAACCACCTTTTTACTGACTTCGAATGTGCTCCCAGGCCGGTCTCATTGAAGCGAAGAAGGTTTCCAGCAACTAAACTCAACGAGCGCGTCTACATCGTTCCTTGATACATCTGTTGTACATTTAGCACGAGACATGAGGCACTGGAGCTCTGGGCCGGTAAGCCGGTCGAACAGGGCCCGTGACTCGTGAGAAGAAAGGGAAGAGAATCCGAGGGGAAGGGCAAGTTTGGAGGGGGGAAAATATCCCTGGATGTTCCGCCTCCTGGCATTACTTATTGGCGTTTATTGAGAGAGTGATATACATTTGGAAACACTTCTGGGATTATGTACATTATGTGCGCTGATTATGTGACTGCGTCTCGCATTGTGATTACTAGCAATTAGCATCGGTTTTGTGATGGGGTTATGTTCTCATTTTTTTGTCCACTGAATCCTGTGTGCATGTGTTGGGCATGACTCTTGGGGTGGGTGCATGTTCAAAGAGTCTAGAACTGGAGTGAGGCAGTTAGTACTTCCTTACTTTGATGCAGGCTTCACTGCTGGAGTATGTAGTCTGTCACGGGGGTACTTTTTCTTTTTCTTTTTTTTTTTTTCTTTTTGAACAAGCCGTTCAGAGGGAGTTATATAGCGAAAGTAGGACCCGAGTAGTACTTTTTGGTTGCGGTCCTTGCATTTGAGGTATGGCAGGTGACCAGGCAGGGAATGACCGCCCACCACTGACACCACCTGCCCTTGGATTAGCACTGTCATGATGCTAGCTTCCCATCGGTGACCATAAACTATAAGGTTCCCAACGACGGGTTATATCAACATGTCAGCGCGTCTCCGGCATGATTCAACAAATACCTCATAAGCGGCTGCAACCCATGTATCGGCTTCACAAGTGCCATCCGGTGGTGACTCCGAATTACCTAACATGCATATAGGCATCAACGGCCAGGCAGAAACCACTACGGCGACCAGTTACCAAGGCCGACCCAGTGCCTGATTCTTGGTGTAAACAAGAGGCTCGGACATGGAACTCCTCAGCTTTCACCATGGGCAGGGGTTGACCCTGCCCTGTCTTGACTGCCGCCCAATTTGTAGCAGATCTACTTTCTGCGGACAGTTGACTCCAGTCTGTCGTCCAGTGCTTTGATGCCGGGCTTTTTCTCCCCCTCCCCCTCCTCTTCCACCCTCTCTTCTACTTGTTGCTTATTGTTACAATTGCCGCGCATCGAAATCAGACCTGGGCCAATCTCATTCAGGGGACAGGCGCCGCATCAGCCAGTCCGGAGGCCCATCTGTCTGACGGGCCGTGGTGATTGGCTTTCCTGCGGAATTCCAGGCAGGAAGATCAACATCAGAGTTTGAGCATTCCCATTGATCCATGGCAAGCCACACACATATCCAGGGCCTGCTTCCCTTCACCAGATAGGGTGGTGGCCACACGCCTATCTCCTCTCTTCCACCCACCACTGTACAGTTCTGAACTGTACTGTACTTCCCATGCCCGCGCAGGTTGGAACTAGTCCGCCAGACTTTAACTTGTCGCCTCATCGGACTATATCGTGGTTGGTTTGTCGGAGAAAGTAGCGGCCTCAGAAAGGGTCCAGGAAGGTCATCCTGTCCCAGCTTTAGGTATCTACTGTACATGTCGGCATGTGGGTTGTTCCTCTACAACAAGGTGTATGGGGGGGCTTATCGTGTCGTCGGAAGAGACGTTGTGCAGGATATGGTGGCGGGTCTAGACAGAGAGAGGGAGAGTGGGTGGGGAGGGGGAAGAGGGAGAGCAAGAACAGCGCGACCCAGACCTGATCCCCTGATTCCGTCTTTTCCCTGGTCAATAACAACAACAAGCCTTCTTCTTCTTCTTCTTCTTCTTCTTCTTCTCCTTCTTCTCCCTTCGCAATCACATGATAGGAATCTGGCCTCAAATTTGGCAGACTGCAGGCTACGATCACGGGCCCTGAGTCTTTCAGTATGGTTGATTAATTCATTTTGAGATCTTCCCAGACTGGTTTTCGTCCGGTCGATGCATGCGTCTCGGGCCGAGTTTCTAGACCCCAAGAGATACAGGCCGTCGGTTTGGGTCAGTCTACGGTCTTGTCCAGATCACGTTGTTAGGGATTGTCCCATTTGGTGCTTACTATGCGAAGACCACCGCCAGAGCTTTGCATGTTGATCTCTCCTTTCCGTTTTCCTTCTTCACAATGGAGACGCCGAAATGCGCTCGTTGGAGCCGCACAGCAAGAGGCTCCTGGTCGCCGGGAACCACGGGTTTCATCCATGGGCAGGCTTTCTGTCGTACAGTGAGACTTGCTCGTGATCGGATGGGAAGAGAAGATTAGGGTTCTTCTCTGACATGGTTGAGATACTTGTTTTGGCCTTAGCGCATGAGAAAGCATTCGTCATATACGGAGTACGAACTGCAGTTGCGCCCGCCGTTGAGTAATTACTATGTAGTAGTTAGAGGAGGGGACAGGGGTAGCAGAAGAGAGCAGAAGGTACTAAAGAATTAGTTCCTGGGTAGTTTGGTTGATTGTTGGTTAGTGCTTCAAGCAGGCGGCCGGCATCTAGAAAGATTTGCTTGCGTGCTAGACTCACTACTAAGGTTAACTAGCCTCGGAGCGTGTTGAGTGTTGGTGGGATTTTAATCTTGTCACCAACTGTCGAGTCATGCCGCCACGGATAACGCGGGGTTCATTCCAGGTTCCGAGCGTTTCTTTCGCAGGGTGTGTCGGGGAGCCAGGACCCAGATCGACCATCTGTTCAATTGATTTTGATTTTTGATTTTTATTGTTCTCTTCGCGTCTCCCCCCTTATCGCGCGAGACCATCCCATCCGGGCTAGACTTGGACAACAAAACAACTGGAGTTGGCTGAATTGGTGAATGACGAGGATAGTAATTTCGATATTGCGATGAGTGCTAATCAACTAACTAATGCATAAGTTGTTAGCTGCTGAATCAGCCACGTCCCGCTGGCCTCGGCACACGCACTTTCCTCCACGTTCGCATCCGTCGTGGCGGTTGTTTGCGTAGAATTAAATGGAGCTGCAATCGGCATCTCCTTGCTTGCATATCTCACTATCCGATGGCAGGCGACTCGCACGCAGTCAGTCGGCTGTTGCAGCAAGCAGCCGCTCCGGAGATTCAAAGAGGCTAGAGAGACAGAGGCAGTGATTGATTCATGGTCGTGTTGATTAATCTAGTACTCCGTACTCCGTACTATCATCATCATCATGTGGTATCACTATCTCTAGAGTACAGTACGTACAGTACTCGTAGTCAACTTGACGACACCACACTTCCCCGGGGAGATCGGGAATCACTGGGCAATGGATTTTAGTCCCTGGTCTTTAATATCAAGTCGCGTGTTGTGTTCATCTCGAACTGCCGGGTCGCGCTCGAGCTTCTGGCACGCTCGTTGGACAGTGGATAACTAACTACCTTACTGTAACTACTAGTAAACCACCTTAATAGTGCATGATAATAATTTACCTACTCCGTACTTTCCGTACCAAAGTCCCTCACTGAACGGACTGGGTGAGTGAGTGAACAGTCGTCTTCGAGCCAGAGTCCAAGGGACTTCCGATTGTCCATCATTTGCAAACTCCTGGAACGGAAGCAGACTGGATCCGTGGAAGAAGACGAGAACGAACACTCACTCTCTAGAACTAATCCACCATCGATCGGTATTCTCCCCTCCCTCCCTCCCTCCCGTCCAAGGGACTTCCGATTGTCCATCATTTGCAAACTCCTGGAACGGAAGCAGACTGGATCCGTGGAAGAAGACGAGAACGAACACTCACTCTCTAGAACTAATCCACCATCGATCGGTATTCTCCCCTCCCTCCCTCCCTCCCTACCTCTGGTCTGTCTCTCTGTCTCTCTCTCTCTCTCTCTCTCTCTCTCTCTTTTCGACTACCACCAACACATCGACTTCCCCCTAAAATCCCAAGGACCGTTCCGGGCTCGATTCATCCATTCATTATTGGCATATTGCTCTTCTTCTTGTCTGGGACGGACAGACGGACGAACTGCCACTCCCTCTCTTTTTTTTCGCTTTTCTCTTTTACAGTCATTGTTCAGTGACTCTCTCTCTCTCCCACCCCAGTCCGTTCAGCCAGTCATCATCATCACGACTATCATTCTCCTTTAAACATCATCATCGCCGCCGTCATTCCAGGTTCACCACCTCCACCATAGCAAGCCTTCTTCGCCTCCAGTTTCTACTTGATATTCGATTTCTTGAGCATAATATGTTTGCAAGTCATTACATATTTACTCACAACATCCTTTGATCGCTGTTGAGGATCCATTTGGCTACTTCATACTTCTTTACTTTGCGACTTACTACTTAGATATTACTACTGCTACTTAACTAGGCACTTCCCCCCCTCTCCCCTTCACTCCAGCCTGCTTTCTTTCTCTTCCTCCCTCCCTCCCTCTCTTTCTCTGTTTTCTGTCCGCACCCACTCATTCCCTGCCTTTTCCCTCTTCCTCTTCCCTCTCCCTCCCTCTTCCCCCCCTCCCCCCCCAAAAAACCGAACCTTATCCTTTCCCCGATTAATCTCTCTTCCCTCTCAATTTCCACACCCACTCCCTCTTCCCGTCTTCGGTTCATACTCGTCATCCTCTCCCACCTTCCACCTCCCATTTCCCTTCAGTCCTCCCTCCTCCCCCCCCTCCCGTCTCTTTTCCATTCTGCATCTTCCTCTCCTTTCATCATATTCTACCCACCCCCCACTCCCCTCCTCCCCACTAATACACCACGCCTTGTCCTACACCACTATTGTGATCATCAAAATCATTTAATCAGTCCTTTCACATTCTCACATCTCTCGATTCACAATATCTACTCGTGTTATTATTCCGTTTGAGGTTTCAGCCATTGTGTCGTCGCCGTCAATTCCTCATTTTGTCGCATATCGCCTCCTGAACGCGGCCGAACGCGGCACTTCTATTCCAGTCGCGCGCAACCCAGCATATCGCACTCATCGCACGTCTCACTTACCTTGGACTATCATCTGTCACTAGATTACTTATAAGTGATAAGTTGCTTGCGTTACCGTTCCAGCTACTAATTCTTTC